AAATGGAGAGACAACCGCACTTCCACGGATTCCATCTCTTGGGTCCCCTTCTTCCTCCGAAGTCTTTTCTGCTATCCTTTAATAAACTTCTAATTTTCCACTCTGACCTTGCCTCGGCATGCTTCTCTGGTGTTATTCTTCAACATTGGGGAAGCAAGGACTCGTCACCGGTCAACAGCGGTAACAAAACTAAATACTTAACCTCACAAATATGCACAGGTTAACTCTTCCTAAGACTTCTTCTCCTCCCAAATTTTCATTTCCTATTTTTACTGTCCTGCTCCAGATCTACTGTACGCATGCGCACAGTGCTGGCAGAAGGAAGGCAGGAGTCCTTCCCTTTTCTCCCTCCCTCCAACAGACATTTCTATAGAGCACTGTGAGCCCGGGTGGTAGGCTTGGAAAGAGACACAGGTGACAAACACCTTTTCTAGGGATGGGTTGGGGAGAAGTGGGAGGATACACATCTCTGGCTGCCTCTGATACAGGGCAACCCATGATCAGTGTGCTGGTGAGATGGAAGGCAAAAGCCAGTGCTGTAAGAATTTAGAGGCTGGTTTCACTTCTGGGGCTCCAGGAGGAGATGGCCCTTAGACCTCGCCTTGCAAGAGGAGTAGAATTTCAAAAAATAGATGCAGAATCTTTCTTTGGACTGGGTCTAAATGCTTCCTATTTCTGAGAGATGGTGTTTGCGTTACACTCAGTAGCCTAATAAATTTTCTAGATGGATACTAGCCACTGGAGGTTAGGCTAGGGTCTTGGTTCTGATTCTATCCCTGGACATAAATTACATATGTCCTGCCCTTTCTCTGGGCTTCTGTTTTTTCCCAATTACGAAATGGGATATGAAATTGGCTGGGTATGACATTACTCATGGGCTTCTGGTTAGGATTATATTAAACTAATTCATGCAAAATTATTTGCAAGCCACAATGAAATATAAAAACAAAAGATTACTTCACACTATTTTTGTTGTTTCAAAAACTAAAAATAACCCATGTCATGTGCTCACTCATCTAATATTCTTTCTTTTTTTGAGTAACTGCTTGGGGGTGGCCACTGGAGAGACAAAGATTAATGCCCCCGGCCTCCATCTTTGGAATCTGAAAAGTCTAGAAAAGGAAACAGTAATTACAATTGAGGGGTATAAGTTTAATAAGCTAGGACAAAAGTTGGGTTGGTTTGCAGGAGCTCTGCTGTTTCCTAGTGGCAATGTAGGTAGATTATAATGCTAAAGACATGAAATTCAAAGCCAGAAATTGACTGGCATGCTTCAGCCTAACATGGAATTAAAGCCAGGTAAAATTCCTAACATGGAATTAAAGCTGGGTGCATGCCTATAATCCTGTGGAATTGGGAGGCTGATGTGAAGGATCACAAGTTTGAAGCCAGCCTCAGCAACTTAGTGAGGCCCTAAGCAACTTAATGGGACCCTATCTCAAAATTAAAAATAATAAATAAATAAATAAGGGCTGGGGATGTGACTTAGTGCTAAAGCATACCTGGGTTAAATCCCGTGTGTGTGTGTGTGTGTGTGTGTGTGTGTGTGTGTTTGTGGTGTATATACATATACATATATATTTTTAAATAAATTAATTAATTAAAAAAATAAAGTGGAATTAAAGAGGAGGAGAAAAATTTTTTTTCCCCAAAGTTTGAGCTTATACTGTGGTCCAGGCTTTTACATGCACCAGCTTCATAACAAGCTAGATATTTTCATGGTTATTTTATAGATGACAAAGCTGAGACTCAGGGATGTAATCTAACTTTCCAAGCTTTTATAAATAGAAAGATAAAGCCAAAAATTAAACCCAGGTTATCCAGCTGCAAGCCGGGTGCTTCTCTGTGTGCATTATTGCTTTTCCACCAGAACACATTCCATGACTTTCTTACTCGAATGTTTTTTTTCCAAAAAAGACAGATCTACTATCAGAGACCTGACCGCAACCTGTTCTAAGGCCATTCCCTCTTCCACCTCCTGTGTGCACATCCTTCACTCCCATTATTCTCTCCTGACTTCTCCCTCTCCTCCAGTCCCAGTGAAACTTCCAAGGAGGAAGAAATCCTAACAAATGAAGACCCTGCAGAGAGAGAGAGCTCCCTCCCAGCCTATAAATCCTGGGGTAAAAGTCATGGAAAGAAGAAAAAAAATTGTATACACTTCTGTCCCCCAAATCCATGTTGACCAAAATATGACTATACTTCAATTCTGATCAGTGATTGCTAGACTTATTTCACAGAGAAGAAGACTGAGATCCAAGAAGGTGATGGGATGCACCCAAGGTCACACACAATGGTAAGAGGCAGAGTCTGGATTGGAACCTGGATCTCCCAACTCCCAGGTCAATGCTTTTCCACCAAAATAGGTGCTGTTAGCTTTTTCCATTAGCAACTCAACTTATATGAGATCATGGCCCTTATAAGAAGGAAGCTTAGGGTTGGTGTCTCTGCAAAGCCCAGAAGCCAGGGCCCCTCCTTGGCCTCCACTTTGATCAGCTCATGTCCTCATCTAAAGAACAGGAAGTGGCTTCATTTTTAGCCCTGAAAGCACATTTTGGGGGGTAGGAAAGGGGGATTTGTGGAAGAGAGTTCCTGTACATAACGGTCAAGAGTGATCAGCAGATACTCACTCTCTCTTGAAGAAGGGGAAGATGAATATCAGACACTTAGATCAGACATTTAAGGGGAAGATGAAGGCTGACCTTGAGTCCTAACCAGAACCTGACCTCAGATGCTTCCCCAAGCCCTGGGGTGGGAAGAGGGGAGGGCTCTGCTATGCTCACTCCCTTCTCTGTTCTGACAGGGCTGGATGCCAGAATGGGGGTTGAGATCACCAGGGTGGGAAAATTTGCAGGAACGTTCTACAATATCCAGTGCTTCCCCCACCCTCTGCTAGCACCCACAACTTCCCCTGCCAAGGGAGGAAGAAGGAATGCATTATTCTGTTTAATAATTTATACAAATTGAAAAGTTTATTTTGCCAAAGAAAAGGGCCTTAAGAGGGCAACAGAAACAAAAATTCCTGAGTCTTCTTAAAGGACAAAGTGTGGAGATGATATTTCTTGATGACCTCGCCCTGGAATATAACAACCTGATTGTCTAAGATGGGTGTGAAGCAAGGAACCCCGCCCTCCGAGGGTCAGCCAAGCTTTGTCTCCTACTGGTGGGATTACATCCAACCTTAGCAATTATATCCTGGGACATCAGAGAACACAGAACGCTAGAAGACACTCTGGGCATGTGTCTGTCTCTATAAGTGGTTCTCAAACCTGGCAGCCCACCAGGGTCATCCAGGGAGCACAAGACAAACCTAGATTCCTAGGAACCAACCCAGAGATGGATAAGGTCATTTTCAACAGGCAGGCCGGGATTCAGAACTGGTGATCTAGTTCAACCCCATCTATCCAGCTATCAAAGGTTTACATGAGAAGTAGATTTCACAGCAAAGAAATCTGAGATGCCAATAACTAGACTGGTAGCAACACTTGGACTAGAACTCAGTTCCCCAGCTGCTGGCAGGGATCACCAGCAACATGGTCTCTTTCCTGGGGCTCCCCAGGCCACTGAGAACCCAGGAAGATCCAACAGTTGACAGAGGAACCAAGGTGCCAGAAGTTTAGCCTGAATCTCTGTTCAGATCTTTGTGGAGGTAGCCGATAAGGGGTTGGAGTGAAAGTCATCTTAAGGGCACTTTCTGTATTCTGGTGGGTTACAATCAAAGGGCCCAGCAGGTGGCCTCTGAGGTATACTGCCTGGTTTTTCTAGAGTGAATGAATAATGGGTTCATGGAAGCAACCCACTATGTACAGGAGCCAGGGAAAGTGAAGGAGGGGTCCCAGAAGATGGGGTCTGGAAGGTGGTGGAAGGCCAGACAATATGGGCCTATTGGCCACTGTAGGACCTTAGCCTTTTATTCAGCCACAGCATGATTTTGAGCAGATGAGTGTCCTAATCTAATGTTTTTACAGGGATCTCTGGTGTGGTGGTGAGAACAGACTGTGTTCAGCTCAGGGAGGAGCAGAGGACCTGTAGTCAGTCATACAGGACACAGAAAGTAGTGGCTCAGAAGTGGCTGGACCCTGATGTTTTTGAAAAGTTGAGCTCGTAGGTTTTCTCATGGACTGGGTGTGAGATGTGAGGTAAAAAGGGCATGGAGGGGGCTGGGGATATAGCTCAGTTGGTAGACTGCTTGCTTTGCATGCAAAGGCCCTGGGTTCAATCTCCAGCACCATACACACACACACATGCACACACACACAAAAGAGGCATGGAAGGTGGTGCCAATGCTTTGACTAGAGGGCTATGGAGGCTGGAGTTACCACAGGATGGGCTAGACAGAGGAGTTCAGCCTCGAACACATGGAGCTTGCTATGTCCATTATCCTCTCCAGGGAAGTGCAGGAAAGGATGCGGGACACATCAGGAGGCCAGACTGGCTTGGAGTCATCATGGGCACACATGGGATATTTAAATAGAGCCTCACAACTGGATGAAGTCACCAAGGAAACAAGTACAGACAGAAAAGAGGATCTAGGATCCTGCCTGGGGACCCTCCAGCATCAAAAGGCCAAGAGAACAGGGAATGAAGAGGAGTGACTAGTAAGTGGAGTCCTCGAAGCCAAGTATACAAAGTGTTTCCAGGACAAGGGGGTGATCCGTGGGGTTTGAATGAAGGTGAAGTGAAATGAGGGCTGAGAATTGACTTTTGGATATGGACATTGGAGAACTCTGATAACTACAGGAGCAGCGTTTGACATCTAATCTTACGGAGTCCCTTGGTTTGATAACTATCAGTCCCCCCCTTATTAGAAATTTTGTTTTCTCAATTAGGTTGTAAGCTTTGCAACACCAGGGATGATGGGTCACCACACTCCCAGGGTACCAGGTCCTTGGCGGGCTGTCAGACCTTACAGAAGAGCCTGCTATAGGTCCTGAGATGCTTTGCTGGCCCACCTTCCACAGGGACATGGTCTAGAGCAACTGTCCTCATGTCTGGCTTACCTTGGACACAGAATTTCAGTTCCTTAGGGTCAGTGATGCTCTTTCTGCTTTCCCGGATCACAGCCCTGTTCTTCTTGGTTTCTCCCCAGAGATTGGTGCCTCCATACATGCTGGGAATGTTGAGAATGGCAATGCCTTCAAGGAAGATGTTGCTCAGGTCCACCTCCACTCCGTCACACTGGGGACAGACAGAAAAGGCCAGTGGACTTCAACCTAAGGTGTTCTAGAAGTGTGTGTGGGGGAGGGGGGTCTTTTCAGCTACCACCCTGCCATTGTCAGAAACCAAATCTTAAGTAGGTCTAATGCTTTAACCACTATAGTGAGATGGGGAGCCAGTCCTGAGTCAGCTCTGGGGAAGATAGCACAAGATTTCAGTGGGTCTAGAAATGCTCTAGGGATAGTTCCCAAGTTAATTGCCAAACAGTTCTCCATTCCAACCTCATTACCATCAATTCTGCCCCTTCCTAATCACTATAAATATGTATAGGAATATCGATTCCAGAACTTAACAGAGTATATACTCAACAAGCAAAAGGAAAAAAAAAAAGCCCAGCTCAATGGTGCGTGCCTATAATCCCAACAGCTTGGGAGACTGAGACAGGAGGACTGCAAGTTCAAGGTCAGCCTCAGCAACTTTGAGAGACCCTGTCTCAAAATAAAAAATAAAAAAGGCTTGGGCTGGGGATATATAGCTCAGTTGGTGAAGTGCTTGCCTCGCATGCACAAGACCCTGAGTTCAATCCCCAGCAACACACACTCACACACAGACACACACACACACACACAAGGGCTTTAATGGTTAAGTGCTCTTTGGTTCAATTCCTGGTACAAAAAAAAAAAAAAAGACAAGAATAAAAATTATTATTCCCTCTTTTCCCTCTTATTTTATCCTGCCTGTCTTTGGAAGTCTTTAAGAATTTGCCTGTCTTTCATATCTGAATTGTAAGTATAAATTTGACACATAAACTTGCAGAGTGTCTTTATTCAACCAATCTCTATCACTAGATTTCTCACCAGGCATGAAAAGCCTTGTATGTCTCATATATATAGCCTCTAGTGTCAGCCCACCTTGGCATAATGTTTACCAACACAGCAGAAATGTATTAGCTCTGATCCTCATTCCTTAGGATTGTGGGTAACTTACTATGTTTTGGAAGAACCAACTGGATGAACTATATTATCCAAGTTTACAACTAAGAAATAACAGAGCAGGGATTCAAATGTGGAGAATTTGACTACAAAGTCCATACCCTTTATCTTGATTATTGTGAGAAAAGTAAAGTCAAAATCATATGACAAAAAAATCTACTATACACTCTAAAGTTTGCCGACTACTAAGGTTTGAAGGTCTCTTCCCAAACTCATGTTGAAAGTTATTTGCCACTGTAACAGAATTAAGGGGTGGGGACTTGAGAAGGTAACCAGGATGAGATGAGGTCATGAGGGTGGGGCCCTGTGATGTTATTAGTAGCTTTGAAGGAAGAAAAAGAGATCCGTGGTGCTGCCTTTGGGCTGCAGAGAGTTCCCACTCTTTATCAGATGCAGCCCCCTCAATTCCCTCCAGACCTCCAGACATTTGGATAATTTGAAAGGTCTCTTTATATGGACCCACATTCTCTCTTTTTTCTTGCTTCTGCTCACTGGTCCTGTTCTTCTTTCTGAAGCCAGGTGGAATGACGTCCTTTCTCCTCCATAGGGGCAGCCCAGCAGCCACACTGATGATCACCACCATCACTGTGCATATGGATGAAGCATTGCCATGTGCCACATTAGCTTTTATACACATCTCCTTGATTATCTTCATGATAATCTACAATGACTAACCTCTCTTTATGTGTGGGGAAACCGAGGCACAGAAGAAGCTAAGTCACTTGCTCAACAGCACATGGCTGTGGAAACACACAGATCTGACAGCAGGCAGTCGGAGCCTAAGCTGGAGGACTCCTTTCTGCCTCCTCCCTCCACACCACAGCAGTTGTACAGCCTGTCCGATTGAGCCTGTCCACTCTCCTAACCTTTTCCTGCCGGACTTGGTTTTCAGACCCTTTCTCATTTTGGCTGTCCTATTTTGTACATGCTCCAGTTTGTTGCCAACCGACTTGGTAAGACTCCCAGCACTGAGAATAACACTCAAAACAGGACTGATGGGGCAGGCGGCAATGAGACCAGCCCTGACCAGGACTGGAATTCTATGACACTGTCATGTCCCCAAAATGAGACAATGTGTAAAGCCCATGTAAGAGCTCAATACGGGTTACCCCCTACCATTACCCATATCATTACCCACAATGACAGCTATGCTAGCCCTTTCATTAACAGCTAGATGATGGCATCCCTTCGGTTTAAATGGGTAGTCATCTCAGTCACCTGAACCTTTATCCCATGATCTATTTCTAAGCCAGCTCTTCCCTAAGTTGCACTTGTATAGGATTTTTCCCCCTGGGGCAGAGGTTGCTTGGGATATAACCCAGGGCTGCTCTAGCACTAAGCTAAGCTCCCAGCCTTTTTTATTTTTATTTTGATATAGGGTCTTGCTAAATTTCCCAGGTTGGACCTGAACTTGTGATCCTCCTCCCTCAGCCTTCCAAGTAGCTGGACTCACAGAGGTGGGCCACCATGCCCAGTTGTGCAGCCTTTTAAAAAAAATAGCTTCGACATAGAACTTTGCATTTATGTTAATTAATTTTATCTGACTTTTATCAGAGGCAGCCCCTCAACTCCAGACCTCCAGACATTTGGATAATTTGAAAGGTCCCAAACTCTTCCAGTCCAATCAAATCTTCATTTTGTGACCCTTGGTCCTAGCTCTCTTATCATTTGGGGATTAAGTCATTAACATGAGTACATAAGGCAAAACCAGGGACCAGTTTCTTTCCTTGGTCCCATTCATGGTACACGGGCAGTCCTTAGAATGTGACTGTTCTATTGGGGCTGCACATTCTGATTGAACTGTATCTAACCAGCCCAGTTTTCATTACACAGTGGAATCAAGGAACTTAGTGAGCAGGACCTAAGAGAACATGTCCCATATTTCATAAATGAGACCTGGTGAGGGAAAGAAACTTCCCTGTGGTTATCTAATTAATTAATGGTAGAATAGATTAAAATCCAGGTCTCCAGACCTCAAGTCAGTGTTCTTTCCATCAAAGCATAAGACATTATGCTGAGATCAAATAAGATTTTCTAAATGACTCCCTTACGACCTCTAAAAGGAAAGAAATAAGAGAACTCATATTAACACACTAATATCTGTGTTAATTACATATTCTAGAATCTTGCCAGGGATAGGAATGAAATCCATGTGTTTCCAGAATATTCCCTTTTCTTATTTTTGAAAACTGGGACATGTCTATTTGCTTCTCATTAGATAGAACCAACTCCATTTTCTAGAATTGCCAAAGTGGGCCCTGAATAACATCTAGAGGATTGTCCAGCAACTTGGATTCAAATGTATGTGTATTTCCCAAGGTCAGTTAAGTCTCTGTTGATTTACACTGGGCTTCAGCATCTGTTCTTTCATTTTTAGTTTAGGGCTACTACTCTGGAAAAGACAGAACTCTTCCATACTGGCAGAGTCCTTATTGAGTGTTGCTTTCCACGTTTTTGTTGTTTTGCTTTGAACATTGTCTGTCATTCTGCTTGGCCTTCAGTTTGCCTGAGCCAGGCTCAGAGATGTGAGTTGCTTTTGTGTGGTCACACCCAGGTGCTTGCACACACCCTGTTTCTGCGTGTATGTGCACAAGTTCCCTTAGAGGATGGGTTCAGCTAGAGCTCCCTGCTGTTGTCACAGTGACTTAAAAACCCAAAGTAAACTCCTTTCCTTTTTCTTCTCAATATGATTAATGACTAGTTAGAAATTTATTTTGGAATGCCCTCTACCCTTCTATCCTTCATACACATATTCCTAGTTAGGAATTTAGGCTAGAGTTCATGAAGTCACACTTTTCTCCACACTCTTGAAATGAGCCCAGCATTGTCTCCTTTTCCTTATCTTCTCCTAGACCAGAAGTCGTCTCTTAGTCATCATTACTTCCACATCACCTCAATTTATGCATTGTTGGTTGAAACAGCACCCTTACTTGGAAGACGTAACATCAGCAGCTCATGCATGGTGAGAGCTTCCTTGGGTGCTGGGCTGGCCCTTCACCTACAACACCCCTTGGAATCCTCCCATGAGCACAATGAAGGAGTGAGTCACTATTGCTACCCTCAACAGACAGGTCTCCTGGGACAAAGGTGCTTGCTCAAGGCCACAGAACTTGCCACTGTACACCCAGCAGAGCTAGGATGCAAACCCAGGCATCAGATGCCAGATCCTACTCTGGAGATGAGTCAGTGAGGCAAATCGGGATTTGTGCTGATGCTAGACTTATAGCAAAATTAAACTTCCAGCTGTTGTTTGAATAATTGAAATCTCCCACTACTGCTCTATCTTGTAAGTGCTTAGAGCTGTGCCTGGCACATCAGTGTTGGATATTAGTATTATTATATCTTGTCTCTGAGCCAGGTTTGTTAAAAAAAAAAAAAAAAAGAAAGAAAGAAAAGAAAAAACCATAGCACACTCCTTGGCAAAAGAAATCCCATAGTCACCTTCCTTCCCTACTCTATTTAAAAATATACTCTGTCTTTTCCACCTTTAATCATAACCAACTAGGAGTGCTAGCTATTAACCTGGTCAACTGTTAACCTCTTTTTTTTTTTTTTTGAAAGAGTGTGTGTGTGTGAGAGAGAGAATTTTTTGATATTTATTTATTTTTTTTAGTTCTCGGCAGACACAACATCTTTGTTTGTATGTGGTGCTGAGGATCGAACCCAGGCCGCATGCATGCCAGGAGAGCGCGCTACGGCTTGAGCCACCTCCCCAGCCCCTGTTAACCTCTTCTTGGGAAAGGAGACAGTCCTCACTCTGCTTTCTGATAAATCTACCCACTTCTCATTTTTCTTACCGGGTCTTGCTCTGTAATGAGGCAATCAGAGCAAGCAGTAGGAACTTGGGGTCTGTTTGATGGCTGATGTTGCAGCCCTTGAAATGCACCCACTTGAAAAGTGAGAAACAATGTAGTATCTGGAAAAGTATATATGTGGGCTGGAGGCAGAGATATGGATTACATTTTGGCTCTGTCAATTGACAGTTATGTGATTCCAGATTGGTTTCTTAACCTCTCTGAGCTTTAATTT